TTTAATTTTAGATATTTAAACTAATATTCAGGTTATGTCATAGAGCTATGTGTTTTCATGTTTTCTCAGATATCTCTGCAACATGTAAAGTTGTGGTGAACAGCGACCTGGATTCTGTCCAATTCCTTGAGGCCCTAAGGGAACAGGTCCCTAATGTGCCTACACATTTTGACCTTTGCAGAATGGTGGGAAGTGCTCGGCGATTCACTTCGATTGATGCCCTTTGTCCAAGGGATATAACAGTGAATCGTGCCCTGGGAAGGTCCAACCTTTATATAAGGCCAAAAGTAAATGAAAGTTAAATTATTAGAAGAATACAGGTAAAATAATAGTAATTAAACATTGATTTCTGTATATCTAAATAACAATCTTCTATAGCAGGATGATGTCGCCCTGTCCACATCTGGGGTCAGCCCCCCCCCCAGGTTTTGGACATCCCCCGCCGCATCTGGGGTCAGACCCACCGCCCCCCCCCCAGGTTTTGGACATCCCCTCCACATCTGGGGTCAGACCTCCCCACCAAGATGTGGTTCCTGCCCAGGATGAGGTATATTATAATATCCATGTCAGTGTACCAAGTAGACTCACAAAAATCAGGACTCAAGAAGGTGTGTTAATAGTACTGACTGTCTGTTGTCTTTTCAGGAATCACTATCTTCAGACATCCCCTCCCCAGTGCACAGTCCATTAGCAATGGATAGCACGTCCCCACTGCACAGCCCCAGCTCACCCCATTTGTGAGTAATCAATATTTGCTGAAATAATTTTCAAGCTGTTACAGTGACATGGTAAACAAGTTATGCTTTGACGAGTGAGTTGCCACAGTCGAAATTACAGACATAGAACTTTACATTTAAGGTCTCACCTGTTGTCTTCAAGTAAAATACTTTTATTGTCTGTTAATATTAATATTATTACTATGTTATTTGCTTTTTACAGACCGTATGTTCACGAATTGGAAACAACATTAATGGGGTTACAGGCCAAAATCAAAGAACAATCTTCAAGGGCAAATCAAATTAATGTTTTTCGTGGCGAAGAGTTGGATTGCGCCCTTAGAGCCTTTGCGAGGTCTACTTTCGACCCGGAAGCCCGGATTGATGTCGTTTTTATAGACATTGAGGGGGTTGGAGAGGGTGCAGTGGATGAGGGGGGCCCCACAAGAGAGTTTTGCACTCTCCTCATGAGGCAGATACAGGCCTACTTGATCTTTGAGGGTCCTGAGGAGAGGAGGACATTGGCCCTGGATAGTGTTGGTAAGTTGGGAAAGTAAATGTCATGCATTGTAATTTCTTTAATTCTTAATTTAAACCAAAGCAATAATGATGTCAAATGAATTATAATAAAACAATGTTTACCTTTGAAAAATATATTGTAGAGATATCGCTTTCCCTAACCTGAATTTGTATAATATCAGGACTCATTGCATGGATGAAAAGTTTGAACATTGTATTGTCACTGTGTAATATTTTCTTTTCACATTCAGCCTTACAGAAAGGACACTATAAAATCATTGGACAAATGATTGTGGTGTGCCTGCTACAGGGGTTGGTTTCGCCGCATTTCTTGTCAGACCGATTATTTCAACAGGTACGCGGCTTACCACCTACCCCTGCTAGTTTATACCTTGTGTACGACATGGGACTCAGGGCCAAATTCCAAAAGGCAAGTACTTTTTTTACTTGTATTAATCCATTTAGCAGTTTGTGTTGTGTAAAGCTATGTGTTCAATCATAATATAGCATATTTACTCTAGAATAGATCTAAAGAATATATAGAATAATCTAGATTTATGAAATCAACAAAAACCCTTGAAATCCTTGAGTATTATTTTATACGTTATAAGAATATATTTTGCAACTTTATATGGATGAACAATTAAATGTTTTTATTGTTGCATAATGTCATCTGACATATTTGTTAACATTTTTACATTTCTCAAATTAGATTGCAGAGGCAACCACGGTGGAGGCGGCCAAAGAAGCAGTGGAAGAGGCATCAGAGGAGCTCTCCCTTATGGGTGGTATGAGATTTATATCTAATCTCTCACAGAGGGATGAGCTCCTGGCGGCCGTCCTCCATCATTACTGCGATGGACGCTTGTTAGAAGCCCTCCAACAGTAAGTATAGCAGCATGGTGTTCATCATTTCTATGTCTACTTATAAGCTGACAATGTTAGGTAGATGGCAATAAACAGGTTTAACTACTATGAGGTTAACATTCATTTCACATAATTCATTATTTGCATAA